GTATTAAATTGTGACAAAACTCAATTGATACAGTTCACAACAAAATATGATCCAAGTATTTATAGTATTCTCAGTAAGATTGGTGGGAAAAGCATAAGAGTATTTGACGAAGTGAAATTCTTAGGAATTACTATTGATTCAACATTATCCTGGATTCCTCACGTCTATAAAATAGTAAACAAGCTTTCAGGTTTTACCTACCTATTCCTAAGATTGAGCTTGTCAGTAAATACACATGTTTTGATATGTCTTTATTATGCTCAAGTATATCCACATCTGATGTTGGGGGAATACAGCCAAGATAGACATTTTCCTTATCTTGTAGACCGATATTTGTAAATGAAAGAATACTAACTGTAACGTCTATATATACATATTATATTAACCTGTGCTATGTTTGTCCACACGCATTTAGATACTTATGAAAAGAACAAAGATGTAAATAACCGCTACATGACTAGAGGGGCCAATAATTAAGCTATTCCTAAATGTAGACTGTCGTCTAGTCAAAAAGGCCCGTATTATATGTGTATCAATAGCTTACCTCGTCATCTTAAAAATATTAATTCTCCTGCTTTGTTAAAAAAAATGAAAGCTTTCCTGCTTCACCATAGCATTTACTCAGTTCATGAATTCTTTAATAATGCTGCTCACGCAAATTCATAGTGCGATTTCCAATGTTATCATCAGTTAAAGTGTATGTTCATATATATTATTCGCTAATGTAATGTTTGTATTGTTAATTTTTATGTTTTGTGCATTTGTATTATGTTAATTTTGAATTTTGACAAAGCTAATGACGGATTGTATGTCCCATAGCTAATAAAGTATTATTAATATTATTATTATTAAAACTATTTTAGATCATTTTTGTGCACAATCGGTTTTACATTTCAACGGTTGAACAAACTTCAGTATATTATGGAGTCTGAAAAATTGTGAGCTGGAGACAAGGATAGTAACAGACGGACAGACAGACGGAAACGGTAGACTGTATCAGAAAAATACAGCAATTTAAAATCTACTTGCTTTGACATGAAGATAAAACAGTTTACTTATTTAGTGATAATTCGTCAAACTGTACATTGAAAACTCATCCATCAGGTGAATAAAGAGTTATCATCTTTCATGCGGGCAATAAAAATAGTTGGGTGAGCAATGGATTATTAATTTCGGGGAAAAATATAAAAAAAAAACTGTTGTGCTGAATATGACGAAGAAATGGCTGCTGCATTTTTTGAGGAATGCTTCGAAATGGAGTTAATTCCAAATATTCCTCAGAACACAGTGGTTGTAAAGGACAACGCTTCATCTCACTCGCGGCAAATCAACAAGATCCCGAATACCATTACAGAAAAAACAAGAGATAATCGACTATCTGGAATCAACTGTAGTTCCAATACCCGAGGTAATGGGAAAAGTCGACTCGGCATTGTCTACCAAATAATTCTTATTATGTCATAAAATTTAATTAAGGTCTATTTTATGAGTGATCGTACTGTACACGTTAGTGAAAATAATGTAGCATTTTCGATATCGTCGGCGGCGTTTAGTATTCTTAATCTGTCGATTTGTAAAAACTGTGTTGTCAGTGTTTATGATAACTGTGTGTTTTTTCAATAAAATTGTCTTGCGCTTAGTTTAAATATTGATAAGAGACGAAAAAACATCTGAAAAGAAATGATTATTGATTTGCTGGATGGTTTCCTCGGGTGACGATCATGTTGAAATCAGCGACGATTCATTTTATTGTTTTCCTCGTTTTTTAATTAAAACTGATGAAGATGATGTCCAGCTGCTGCCTTCCCCACAGAAAGTATAGACATCAGCGGTAGCAGCAATAAAGTAACTATAGTTAATTAAATCCGTAGCCGTTGTCAGAGCCTTCAGCCAGAGAATTTTAAATTATTAGGGGCGAGAAAATAGAAAATGCTACGAGATGCTTGGTTGAGGTATTTTACCAAGGTGACCAATGTTCAGAAAAAATAAGCCTCTACTTGTGGAGCTCTTAATAATAAGTTCGTTATTAACTTTCCGTACGTTAGATAAAATTATATTCTCAACATCTCAAATGAGACTGATATTACAAAATTTTATTAATTTGAGGATAACCTACGAACAGCTGACGAACCCTCACTACAAAGGTCAGACGATCTTTTGGAATGAACCTTAAGGCAAATTCAAGATCTAACGTGGGTGAATTTTTTCAAAACACCACTTTGCATAATTGTATTTTTAATTTCAGCTTAAATAAAAAGTAATTAGAAATTCACATCAGAATTTTTATTAACCTGAGGCAGCATATTTAGTTCGCAAACCAATAAAATTACGAAAAAAACTAAATTTTACCAGTGACATTTGTTCCCGAATCTGGTTAATATTTTCCTGCTGTAACGATTTCGCAAAACTACAAATTTGTTGTTGTTTTGACTGGTTGATGTAGGTTGCTAGAAACAACGTTTTATACTGCAATATAGTGTAATTAGTATGCTCAGAAGTTTGAAAATAGAAACTTTGTTATTGAAAGGAAAACGTTATTTGAGAATTAACGACGAAAGTAGATAATTTATTCAAACACTTATTATTAAGAGGACTAAAGTCACATACATTAATACACGTTCTCGTCTTCCATCAGAAAAACTAAAGCTATGTTTTAAAATAACGCATTTAGAATGACAGTTTAAAACGTAACTTTAGTTTTTCTGGGTGAAGACGAGACCAGACGTTTTCGAAACATGTACCTCTTTTAACAAAATTTAATTTTAAAAAATGTGGAGTCAGATCTTAACTTATATTCAGTAAATTTGAACATCCACTTAGAGAAATTGCACCTATAAACACTTTTGTTTAGATATAACTGGAATATAAGAAGTGTAAATTAATTATATCGTAATAGTTCTTTCAGAGTTTCAGGAATACAGGTATCTTTAGACAGACAGTCTGAAAGTGGGAAACAAACATTTTCGTATTCTACAAGCTGTGAAAGGTAAATATGATTTGATTCACAATACTGTTACTAAGGAGCCTCACTAAAGCAAGAACAGTATCTTATCCAGATGCACACTTTCCAATAACAATTTACTTAAAATTTTTCGAAATAACGTCATTAGCTTTTTGAGGGTACGAGTCTAATAACTCTGTTGTATACAATGTAACTATAGATGTAATGTCACTGTTTTGTCGGCACTGCACGGAAATAAAATGGAGCGCTTCTGAGGAAATTGAATGGATAAATCAATGTGTAGATTCATTTTTTGGGGCATCAACCGTGGAGATTAAAAACCTATTACCAAAGCGTAAATTCAACCAGAATTCAATAGATATTTGTTTAATAGTTTTTGGCGTTAATGTCATTAAATTTTTGTAGGAAATGAAAAAAAAGCACTAAACTGGTGGTATAAAAAATTTAATACGTAGGTATAGTGCTGATGAATTTCAAGAAAATTAAAATAAATAAGTTACTACACATTAATAATTAATAGTGTTTCAAAGACGTCACCAGTTTTCTGAAAGTCATGAATATATCTTAATTGTGTGTCACTTGTAATCGCTGAATCAGTGTTAGTGTCTTCGAAATTTCAAAAATCGAGAAAAAATTATAAACAAAAGAAAAAAAAGTGAACTTAAAAGAATATATGAAAAAACCAAAACCTTTAGAAAAGTAAATGAAGTATAAGTAGACGAAAAACGTGAATTAGGTTATACACTACATTCCAAAAACTGACGGTCTAATTGAGGAACCATCTGAAAGAAATATCTCACAGGACAAGATAATATGATAAAGAAGAAATTAATCCAAAAATAGTAAATACTGTAAAGGCATTTAAAATTTTATCTCAAAACAATGAAAACATTAACAACAAAGTTAAAAGAAAGACAACAGATCGAAAGAAAAAAAGAAAAACAGGTATTTAAAACATAATGTACAGAAAAACACATCAGCGCATACACCAAAAGGAGCAAAACAATAGAAAAATGCAGCTTGCAGAAATGTAAACAAAGTTGAAGTTGATGCTAAAGGGAAACCGAATAATAATGCATGTAGGAAGAACAAATTTGAATTGTAAATGGAAAATTAAAAAGCTCGCAACTGCGGATGAAAGGAAAATAATATCAACCAAGGTAGGCAATGACAAAAGGACAATAAATAAGTGTCGTAAAAATTTTCTGAGCAAAATATAATAATAAAGTTATCGAAAAAAAATTTACCTACGTGAATAGTATTAAATAAGGTAATATTGTAAAAAAGGTTAAAGCAAAATAAAAGCAAGAGTTGAGAATGGTTCTGAGGTTTTAGTTTTCAATAAAAAACAAATAAGAAATATTTGTTCTGTGTTGTATATATTTCAGTCTCATGTTTAGTTGTAATTTTGATCAAATTTCTAGATAAACATTAGTTTGTTTATGCTTTTTTAACTGTTCTCTATAGACAATATCGTGCGTTGCACTAAGTTGTTTATTTTTAGATAGCAATCGCTATACCATCATCTTGGATGAACTTACGGGCACAACGTTAAGAATGAAACAAAAAGTACGTTCCACCACTATTACGGCATAAAAATTTAACTACCTTGTATCATACTTATGATAAATATTAATATGGAATTTATGCAAACAATTTTTTTCCCTATAGAATAGCTCCATAATCTCCTTTAATTTCCCAAAAACACGAAGATTTTCCGTTAAATTAAATATTTATTAGGGCGCTCCAGATTTGACGTTGGCAAATTCCACTTAAGATCTAATCACAACCGAACCCGAAACAAAAAGCCCAAGGTCACGTCTTAAGTTCCCGAACGTAATTATCAATCAGATGGAGGCGCCACATTGTTCCATCTAGCAGATGTTATTAATACAGTTATGTTCCTCCTCAAAGCGCTCAATCTATTTAACATAATGCTATCTCTTGAATGCAGACTCCGTATTCCATATGCGAGTTGGGAACTATCGCCCCAACTACTCCCCAAAATCTGCCGCCGCCCCGCCGCCCCCGCACTCACTTCTTTTGATCGGCGAGGGACTCGAGTAGCCGTGTCCTATGAAGACGCTGGCGGCCAGCAAGACGAAATAGAGCACTTCCCTCCCGGCCATTTTGCTCGTCATCAACAACCACCAATCATCGCAAGCACACACATAGCAAAGCTGCGGCCAAAGCTCGCACACAACAATTACATCATCGGCACTATCGCAGGCGGCGAGCTTTCGACACCATCGCCAGGTTAAAGCTCCGCAACGCGCACACGGTAACAGACGGTCTGACGCCACGCACGCTTGCCGAGTAGGCCGTGGACTGAAAGTTGCTCTATAAGCTGCCTGCAGCTTTCAGGACGACGACGACGCACGGGAGAAGACGGAAAAGCGCGATCCTGCTGGAGATGGAATATTTCTGTTTTCGAGCAATTATTGCGGCGAGGGGTGCCACGGATTCGATGGATTGTATTTGTTGATTTTAAATAAGCATTAGCGGAGGGAGTTCGCACCTGTAGAATATTAAAAAGGTTGACATTTGAAGGGTTTATTTCTCATTTATTGAGGTTTCTGTTTAAGAGAGAGCGAGTGTGTTTAAAATCAAACCCGGCTAGCACAAATGTGTGCGAATTATCTCGATTAAATAATTTAGTGTATTACCTGGATAAACATTGTTTTTATTTGAACAAGCGGAACGAAAAAAAGCAAAAGGGCAGCTTTAACTGTATATTACATGCGATCGTGATAATAATGTAATTAGCTAATCAACTTGACACATAAAGGCAACTTTAACTCCAACTGGTCAAAAATGTTCGTAAGTTCACTACAGTCCTATTGTGAACGGAAAATTATTTTATCAAGAACAAGTGCAAAATTTAATGTCATATGTTTCCCACCTTATTTTAAATGAACGGTTAAAACTTCAGCGTTTCAGAATATAGCATTACGTGTATATATTACAGTAATCTATTAAAATAACTCATCAAAATGATTACTTTATTATGACAAGCCATAAAAAATTGCTCGAAGATTTTTTCGACAGAACGTCCCTCGCCCATAAAGGACAATCATTAAATCCAGCTCTTTCTAATATTAAAAGAAAAGATCTGATTTAGGGAATTTTATTTTTTATGATAAGCCTTATAAGTTGAAATAAAGATATGTATGTAAAGGTCAAGTAAAGGTAAAGAAGCGTGCTACGGGTTTATTTCAAGTGAATTTTTCCATAACAAAATTTTTGTGATGACGTCAACATTTTTAGAAAGACCCTTATATGTTTGAATAGATGCAGTGTAAAGTATTTCTAAAGATATTTGGAACACAGAGTTAGTCACTTTGTGAGTGTCATTAGTTAGTTCAACCTTCAACTGCATGTCATTGAGCTTAATCCCCATAGAAGTACCCGAGTAACCAACTTTCTCGGGGTTGGTTTCCAGAACCGTTTATATTTATATATTTCGTTAGAAAGATTAAGTACGTATTGACAAACGTTTAAATAAGAATTTAACTTTGTTTGTTATTCTGAAAATTATTCAAATAACCCTTATTAATCACTCTAAATTTGCGAATAAAAATATCGTTACTATCTCGGTAGCTTTGTGGTCTCGGCAGTCAAATGTGGTGAAAATAAGTAAGTAAACATGTGGAGAGCATGAAATGAAATAAGTGCTCAAGAAATGGGAGCCGTAAATGTTGAAAATGAAGAAATAAATTTCGCAGAAGACGTAGCAGTGCATTTTGAATATGGGGCAGTGGATAATCATGAAGAGAATTTCGAAATTAACTGGAGTTCTTGCTCCAAACCACTTTTTCTTCTTCCAGAAGCAAAAGGAATACTTTACTTACATTTAATGTGTGTCATTCATTAAAAGAAAAAAAATAGTGCAAGAACAAAAATTAACTCAAATAACAATCGAATATACAAAAGTTGTCAAAAAGTTTTGATGAAAATATATTAAAATCGTGTTCAATATTCGAATAATTTTGCAACGCTTGGTAGAGTGGTGACATTTTCAGTACACTGGTTCTAGGTACAGGTATCTGAAAAAACTTTGTATATCTTAGTTTTGACTGAGGCACCCGTAGGTACACCGGCTCAAGCAGTTTTGGACAATCAATGTTTGCATGCATGATTTGATGTAAAAAGGATATTGATATAGCCAAGTACTTGATGAAGCGCCTTTGAATTTTCTCGAGCCTATCAATGTGTACGTTGTAAACAGGACTCCAGATAACTGAGGCATATTCCATTTCCGAACGAACAAAAGAGTAATAAAAGATTTTTAATGTCTCTACTACTTCCAAACCTTTGATAATGCGTATGACACATCCAAGTGAGTTACAAGCAGATGCAGCAATATTGTCAATGTGTACAATGAAATTTAATTTCAGAACAAATGTAACGCCAAAATCACGTCTGGGCTGACCTGACCTGACCTGACCTGACCTGACTAATATGTGATCAGCAATTTTGTAATCAAGTTTGATTGGATTTTTCTTTTTAGTGTACGACATAGCAAAACACTTTTAATGATAAGTGCCAAGTCATTATCAGTCTACCAGTTTATTATTTTTGTAAGATTTGAATGAAGTTCTTCATATTCAACATTATTTACTTCTAAGAAAATGTTTAGATCGTCTGCGTACATTAAGCACCACGCAGTTAAATTCTCAACAGTGTCATTAATAAACACATTACAAAAGAGTGGTCCCATGACCGTTCCCTGTGGTACACCACAAAGCTGAATATATGACTCTGAGCGATAGCCCAGACAATAAACGTATAGAGTCCTATTTTCTAAATACGACGTAATCATCTTTACTAAAGATTCTGAAATTCAAAAATATCTGAGTTTACTTAAGATGATGATTTATGTTATCGAAAACTCAAGAGAAATCTGTACAAATACAGTCAACTTGACCCTATTTGTCCAAAACGTTACATATATACTGAGCCAAATTAGAAACTGTTGACCTCCCCGTGTGACAAATGGATGAAGAATAAACTCAAACACTTTTGAAAAATTGTTTTTTAATGACTATAGGCCTGTAATTGAAAAAACTTTTATAGCGACTGCCCTTTTTGAAAATGGGGGTGACACCGGTGACACGAAATTCCTTCCAAGCATCTGGAATTTGACAAAATTTAAAAATCAGGTTAAAAATAATAGTCAGCGGCTTTGATAACACTGCTGCGCAGTCTCTAATAACAAAAGACGGACCTAAGTCCAGACTAGCGATAAGTGTAGGCTTTAACTTCCGTATAGGCTTGGCGACAGTATCTTCTTCTATTTTATTTATACAGGGTTAGTCACGAGAGAATTACTTCTGAAAATTATTTTTACGCAACCCAAAATACTAATACCCTGTACCACTTGATATTATCTAAATTTAAAATGAAATGCCTAATCCATGATTGCTTTGACTTTGGCAGTGTCACTTTGACGTTAATTAATTTTTAACATTTTTTTTCATCGTTGACTCGCCTATAGAGCCCCACTGGATCGACGACATACAGTCAGATCAATCTGGGCTATACTGAAGCCGTAAGTGCTCTACCAATGTTGTTCGCCGCTAATGCACATTGTTAATTCGCCATCTCTGCGTCACCTAGAGCCTCTTCGAAGTGCAAATCTGCAACCTCTGGACTTCTTCGGCGATCCATTTACAAAAAAGCCGTAGCATTCCCACAAAATGCCCAACATTTTCAACAGATTAGTAGTTAAATTATTTACTTACTTGTTTGAGTTTGTGTTGTAACCTTTGAATAAAATGCCGTAAAAGGAATTTTTAGAACTAATTTTCTCGTGATTGCAAAAGATCAAGAGGCACACTGACAAATTTATTAGCGGCGCCGGAGGAGATTTCCGACTGGCTGCGGTACCACCATGGACACTCGCGTAACCTCCTTTTCCACAATTGTCAAAATGAGACTGCCAAACTCAAAGCAATCATGGATTAAGCATTACATTTTAAATTCAGTTAGTATCAAGTGGTACATGGTATTCGTAATTTGGGTTGCGTAAAAATAATTTTCAGAAGTAATTCTCTCGTGACTAACCCTGTATTTAGAAAATCAGTTAAAAACGGTGTTAAAACTATCAGTATTAAAATTGTCAGTAGAAGGTCCTTTTAATTGGGCATAAACTTGACTGGAAGAAGCAGCAAAGGCGTCTACTATAAGCTGACGATTATCTAAATGCTCGTCATTATATGTCATGACATGACTCATGACTGATAAAATTGAGGGAACTTTATTTTTGACTTTAAAGAAATTCTAAAATGTCTTTGGGTCGTTTCTGAAGTCAACGCTGAACTTGGTTAAGTAAGAAGTATGAATCTCTTTAACTAATTTTTTGTTATCCGCTCTTAGTTTTTTAATCATCTGAATAATATTTTTATTATAGCATGGAGGAAAATTACCCAGTGATTTTTGTTTGACAAGTAAACTTTTTTTTTCAAAAATCTGCGATAACTTGTAGTACAATAAATCAACTGCAGTGTTTACATTCTGAATTTGCTTTAAATCTTCAAAATTAGTTTTCAATAGTTCACTGTACAGATATCCTCGTAAATCTGCTTTTTTAAAATTGTACTTTTATCTTTTATCACATACTGATGTAGGAGTATTAGATTTTCAATAATAATTGGAAATGTTATCTCCAGGGAAGAATTTTCGTTAGTTATTGGTTCCTCTGCCCGAGAAACAGTGATATTAATCTTTGAATATACCAATTGTTGTAGCTCGAAAAAAGCAGGAAATATGTTAAGATTTGGAACTTTGTTGCTGAGGTTTTCAATCTGTCTCTTAGATTATTTCCAGAATTCGGGAACATTCAAATCTCCTAGGACAATGAGTTTTGAATCATATAGAATTGATTTTACGTTTTACAACCAGAGTGTCTAGACGATTGCGAACGATATCTCCAAAAACAACACCGAAGGAAGATATATGTTTTGATTTCAGATGAATGAAATTCTTTTTGGATAGCAATAAGAACGCCCCTACCTCTGACTGAACACGTTCAGCAAAATTTACGATCAGAACGATCTACATTACATAAATTATCGTCAAAAAGTTTACCGCTATTTACGTTAGAGCTTAACCAAGTCTCAGTTAAATAAAATATACTATGCTTTAACATACATAGAATTTGTGTTAAGATAAATTCCTTAGTTTTCGTATTCACTCCATGTACATTTTGATAGTATATATTCAAAATTTTTTAATGATATTTTTTGGTAGTTAATTGTCATTGAATATCTAAAATATTTAGATCCCAAGCAACATGATCAGTGAGAAACTTTTCA